TTCAATGGGATTTATGTATGCACGGTCCCGAGTGGCCGAAAAACTTTTATTTATTTACAATTTGTTGCCATTTGTCTCAGTCGGCCAGTCGGCCAGTTGGCCAACTTGGTCCTTGGGACAGTGGCTGCGAAAAGTTGGAGCTGCCTAAGCACCGAACACGCCGCCACAAATTTATGCCCCTCAAGTTGGGCGCCGAGTTCCAGTTTCAGTTTCCATTTCAGTTTGGGCTTCAGGTAGCCACCGATGATGCAGCGGTGATGGGCATCCCCTTATGTTTTTATTTCGAGTCCATTCCGGGGACCGGTTATTTATTTTCCACACTTGAACAAATACATCAGAGGGCAGTGTGGCAGCAACAGGCGAGTGCGAATGGATGCAAACTTGCTAGTGTGAATGAGCAATTGAATGGCAAATACGTGACCCCCGACCCGGCGACCCGTCACCAACGAGGGGCATCAATTTCAAGGATTTACATGCGGGAGGTCGAAAGGGAAAACCGAGCCGGCCAGGTGAGTTATGTGGCGGCTAAATTATTTCCAGTTTATACAAGGCCGCCCCCGCCCCGTGGTAAGTGGTTTATGCCTCCTGCGACTGTCAGGCAAGGACAACCCATCCCTGGGCAGGGCAGGATGATGCTGCCTCCCCGATCACATATTCCATAATTGCATTTCGCCCTGGCCCGAAAGAGGGCAAACAAAGTGATTAAAATTGCGAGCAATTAAATAATTGATACGGCACTTTATAACCATAACAAATTACTTTAAAATGTAATGTGGCAATATGTGTGGCAAGATAGGACCAGAACCGATTACCCCCATGCCCCTCCGCATGATGATTGTAAGAATGTTGGCTAAATAATTGATTATAGCGCCTGGGGCAGCAACAATAGTCCACTCAAATATGCAGCCGCACTTGGTTTATTGTTAATGGACAGGATGATAGAGTGCAGCATGGTATTCGGTATTCGGAGCGTTTCCCAATCGCTTTTCATTCCTGGGTTATTAATTTTCCACCTAGATGGCCCGGGGCACGTCCGTAAAATTACCTCCCACACGCATCATCATTCACACGTGTAGGAAGTGGGAAGTGGGATGTGGGCCGTGCTCCGTGGGATGTTGGACGTTGGATGTGGCACGAGGCATGTTTGGTGAGCCTTTCCGAATATGCGCTTATCCGACCTGTCAGCAAATCGGAATTACTCGAAAATTGTGCTCTAAATTCGGTTTATACAACGCACCAAGGTATTCAATATTAATGGGAGTGGCATCCGACTCGTCCTGGCTCCTGCTCCTGCTCTGAGCTATGGCATTTAAATCTCCGGTGTCAATAGGTCTAAAGTTCCGGACAGCATCCAGAACCGGACTGAGGTTTCGTGTGTAATAATTGTGATGAATTAATAAACACAACGCACAAGCGGCTAAACAGGCCAGGATGGTCAGGATGGCCAGCAGGCCTGCACTGCAAAAAGTGGGAGGCACTTCACTGCCCGATTCGACTGTCGAGTTGCATTTACAATTAGGCTCAATTATTCATGACTGATGAGCACAGGATGCGCAAAAACATGCACAGCTCATCGGGCCGTATATCTAATTACATTTGAGCCCACGCTCTCCACTTCTAGCCCAATGAATCGGACCTACCACCTACTACCTGAACTGCCACATGCAGGTTATTCTTTAAAATGGCTCCTACTTGGCCCGTTTAATTCCGAAAAATTGTGGCAGCTATTCGGCTTCCAGGACTTGTCTATAAATCACAACTTTGTCGCAACCTCCGCCCGGCTGACTGATTCCGGGCGGGGAGTCTTGTTCTGCGGCTAATTAAAGTCACAACCCGTTGATGTGTGCGAGGTCCTTGGTGCTTGGTGCCTGGTCCTCCGTCCTCGGAGGTCCTGTTGCCAGTTGCAATTAATTCCAACATAAATTTGCACTTTCTGCCGGGTGTTTGTGGGCCCCTGGCTTTTTCCCCAGCCACCTGCCGTCTAGCACTCGCCCAAGTCCATGTTTACCCACATGTGCACTGCGAGAAAGTCGGTTGAGGTGCCGGGTGCTCCGGCTAGCTCGGAAGTAGACCCTTTCTCTCTCTGTACTGTGTACTGCGTACTGTGTGCTCTGCGGTGACCTTGGCTGTCGCCACTTCCGTTTCGTTTTATGCTCCGTTCCGTTACACATCTGTTCCGGCCCCAACTGTTGCATATGTGACCCAATTTGCCACCTATCTTTGTATCTCAGTATCTTTGTATCTCCTATGTCCCACCTATATCCTGCACCTCCAGGTCGGGTCCAACTACCAACTTCCCGTCCCGTCAGTCTTGGCGTTGCCAATAAATTTTCATACCAACGAGCCACAATAAGAAGAAACAGGCCCAGAACAAAGGGCCGGGCCGAGCAATTAAATGGCCACGTGCTCGGTAGGTCCTTTCGGGCTCTAATTCTTTTTTTGTGTTTTTTTTTTACGTACTACATCACAGTCCGGGTCCGTGTCCGTGTTTGAGGGCCTGGGCCCGGGCTCCGTCCGGATGATTAAACGAAATTTACGAGTACTCCGCCGGGCAGCCTGGCAGCCGGGAGAGTTCGAGAGTTTTGCATAGTCCTGCCCTGTCAGAGATTGATGGGTCGTGTTTTGTCTTGGCGGCGGTCAAGGGAATTCGGGCCAGGTTCATTATAGGCCGGACGGCCTACACGGCGTATGCGTAATATGCCACGGTCACTGTCACGGTTCCTGGAATGACATATTCTGGCATCCGCGCGGGGAGTTGTCAGGTAATGGGCCAGGAGCCGGCACTCCCCTGGGCTCAGATGGGCACTTCCTCGAGTCGAGTCCCTAGCTTTAAGCAAACAATAGAGCATCGGCACACATTCCGACAGCCAATCGATAAAATATTATTGGCTGCAAATACCCATTTATAAATAGAAAAACTAAATCCGACCCTAAGCCCCTGTTATGCCGTTTTCGGAGCTGCTTCCGACCGATTCCCCAATCAATACAGAGCCCCAGCAGCAGCAACATCGTCATCCGGCAGCCTGTCCAATAGATGGTGACGGCTTTCTCTGTCCATGTCGACGTCGATGTCGATGTCGGTGGAGGTGGCGGTGTCGATGGGATGTTATTCAAAATCCAATAATAAGCCCAACAATTATGCAGGACAGGCAATAAAGTGCCAGGCAACGAAACAAATGTGATGCGATGGCCCAAAACTCCAACTGACAGGCTGCCAGCGCAAAAGGATGCGCCGGGTCCGGGTCCGGATGCGGATGTGGATCTGGAGCTAGCTATGGTTGGGGACCCATGATTACGAGCTGCAGTGGCGACGCGGTGACAGGTCTGGTCAGGACACCGCTCCCCCGGGTCCTTGCCCCGTTTTAGTTTCCGTGGCGTTGCTCTTTTTTACGAGCCACGGGGTGTGCGGGTGCCAGTGTTGTTTTTTTTACGACAAGCAGCCATTTTATTGCAAGTGTCGGCGGCCTCGTCTGAGGTTATTAAAGTTTCAGCCGCGCATTTGGTGTGAAGTCGCATTGCGGCGAACAAGGGGGGAGAGAGGGGTGTTGCAGCCACACAGCCCCACAAGCCACACCACACCCGCCCACTGTTTATTTTATGCCGAGAAATGCAATCATAAAACGTTCAAGGCCCCGAATGCAGTGCTACGATAAGATGCGGAAACTGGGCTGAGAGCTCCCGGGAGGAGCTCCTAGGGAGGCGAACTCCTCCTCCGCCAGTGTGGTGCAAAGTGGCGGGCAGAATGGGACGAGCTTCAAGGTGTTCCTCATCCGGGAGAGCTGCGCTATTCCGCCCCCATAAGTGGGCCCATTAAAGTCGCCATTTGCGAAGCCGCAAACGAACCCACCGACTCCGGCCACCGCCAAATGGCTTTGTGCACTCGGAGTGGGGATAGAGGATAGGGTATCGCTCCTAAAAAACATGGAAAGAGGAGGCCTCCGAGTCGCCATTCAGGCAACTAAAAGCCCGTGAAAGCCTATTGACACAAATCGAAAAAATGGGGAATAAAAATAAACCGGAATAGATCGAAAACCAGAAACCAGAGACACAGATAGACTCCAGACTCCTAAATGGCTTTCGTGGACCATTTCGTGGAGTCTCGTCCTGCCAAGTTGGGGGTCCTGTCCAATGGCAACAGAGTAGCCGAGAACGATATCCCAGAGTCGTAAGCTAGTTTGGATTGTTGCGGGAAAACAAAGCCCTCACTATCTGGCATCCTGTTGGGCTAACAACATAAAAGCCACCGTGAAAGGAAGGGCTGAGGCACAGAGCCCTAAGCTGGAAGCCAGTGTGGCGGGCAAATATTTCCCGGGGAGGCGGAAAACTGAAAACTGGAAATGTAAATATGAAAATTGAATCAGGGACAGATGGACGGACGGACGGACGGACGGGGATGGCTGTCATCTCGCGGCACACACGCTGTAAGCCGGAAACGGATCTGCGAGAAAAGTGTAACGGAAATCGCCCACAGAAAGCAGTCCGGCGGCAGGTGGGTTGCTGGCTGCTGGTTACCGGATGATGGGTGGATGGATGGATGGATGGATGCCACCGTAAATGCAATTAGCTGGGTAAACAATAATAAAACTTTAGTAATAACAAAGAGTCAACTCCGGTGGCTGCTGCTGCTGCTGCAGATAAACATGTTGTTTGGGGCAGGGCAGCTCGTGTTCCATCCTGGAACTGGACCCCGACCTAAACAAACAGAGCAGAGCAGAGCAGAGCAGAGCGCAACCCGAGACCCGAAATGTTTCCTTCCCTGTTATTTGCTTTGCCTTGGAGGCCGGCCGAGAGAACAGATATATAATTCAATTCCCCCGTCGCGCCGCCAGTCCATAACTGGCCCGGCAATTACATCGCAATTAGAGCCGAATGGCAGAACAACAAGCTGCCCAGATTGATCCAATTGAGGTGTGACAAATCGCGGGAATCATCATTAGCGGGCCCCAATGACTGAATCACTGCCACCGCCGCTCGCACGCCCTCCAGTCGGTCGTATCGAGCCATGGCCTCTTGTGGCAGCGTACTGGGCCTCCTCGGCCTGTTCGGTTTCGTGCAACTAACCCAGCAGGTGGGTGCCACTTTTTGTTACTTTTTTGTTCTGTTACCGAGCTTGTGCTTCGAGATCAGTGCCTGGCAGTGAACTAATCCCACCAAACTAATTAAACTCCTCGCAACAGCACTGCTACACGATGAAGCTGGTAGGCATCTCCACCTGGGACACGCCCGCCTACGGCCTGAAGATGAACATGTTCCTGAAGAACAACTCCATGTCCTCGGTGACGACGGTGCACCAGGAGGTGCCCATCCCGCTGTGGCACCTCGTCCTCCTCCAGCACCCACGGAAGCGGGGCGGCGGCGCCGCCTCCTCGCGGGTGGAGCTGCCCCGGATCCTCTACAACTCGACGACAAAGACCTGCGACTTCTGGAAGTACATCCGCCACGTCTCCGCCTGGAACAACGTCGCCAAGCTGATGCTCTCGAAGAACGCCAGCAACATGAGCCTGGCGTGTCCCCTCAAGGCCGGCGTCTACGTGATGAACCGCATCCAGGTGCCGCCGGACACGGCGCTTCTGAAGTTCATGTACCACCCGAACACCATCTACACCCTGGAGGGCACCGTCTACTCCCTCAACCCCAAGGACAAGGTCTCCAAGAAGGCCCTCTGCCACTACGAGGTGAACGCCACGATCTTCAAGTCCTGCTGACGGAATAATCCGTTCCAGGAGGCAATAATATTGTTTTTTTTTTAGCCTGTAGGCTTGTCCACCCCTTGTTTCTCGCAATTTCACAATAAACAGTGGGCTCTGCTTAGATTATAAGATTATCTCTGACCTCCAAGCTCCTCCGCATGATTTGTGCCACGGGAGCGGCTACTTATTCCCAAGATCTGTAGTAGAAATGGGGTTAAGATGGTCCCCGCCACGTGTGCGTGCTGCACGCCAGCTAAGGGTTTTTAATTAAGTGAGAAATCAAAGGGAACCGGAGGGTTCTAATCAAGCCACGTGGACTGGTACTAGCAGGACTCAGTTCAGATACAGGTACAACTAGGCTACACCCTACACCCCCTGCTAGACTGCCACGCGGTTCGGTTTTCAGGTCGCAGGGTTCACGAATTTGGGGCCATCATATGTTTGAGGTCGAATGGCCAGTGGCATTTGCATTTTGCAGTTCGCATGACCGCACGCACCTGTCGGCCCTGTTCGGAATTCAATCGCCGCATCGGGGCATAAAGTGCAAGTATGTTTGGAGGTCCGAGTCCGGTCTGCCGCAACAGTTGCAACTGTTGAGCCTCGTGGGGCGATATCCACAGTCCTCGTTTCGGGTATTTCGGCCAAAAAACAATTGGGTTACAGCCAAACAGCCCGGGACACGGACGAACGACCTGAGCTGAAGCGCCTCCAGGTGGGACCGCCTCGAGCATGTCTAATCCCCCGCCTCTGGGCCCGCCAGGACTCCCCTGCCCCAGCAGCAATCGGCATAAAATATGCGACGCTTGCATGCCAGAGACTTATTATTAAAACATAAAATTTGCATGCAAGCCGCAAAGCCAACGCGACCCAACCTATATATTTAAAACAGCTGCGGCCAGGATGATAGCGGTTTAGGGATTATCGCCGTCAAGTCCTGCTGTTCGGGAAGGTGGTATTTAAAAAATTATAAGCCCTGACAGCGGGCCGGAGTGGATACTATTTATCCAATTAGTTTGTGTTTCCAAATGGACCTGAATCGCATTTACTTTTCATGACCAGCATTTGAAATGCCCGGATGCCGGACCCGTTTCAGGACAAGTGTCCTCCACGTCCACTATTATCCTGACTACAAGTGTGCCACAGAATAAGAAAAAAGGAGCACGCCCGCCCTGCGGAGGGCTGCGGAGATGCCAGGATATATAAATACGTGCCTGTTTGTACTTTTATGTGGCGTTTGGCAATTTGAACTCGTGAATTATGCACGGAACGAGTGGAGTAAAGACAATGCCCCGAGAGGGAGGGCAGGACCCCTCCAGGAGCGGGCGGGGGCCTCTGGATGGGGATGACGGCGCATTAGACAAATTTGGCCAGTTTATTTACTGGCAACAGTTCCAGAGGCCAGAAGCCACGAGTCAGGAGTCAGGAGTCAGGAGAAGATGCTAGCACTCAGTACCCGGCAGAGGGCAGAGGGCTTTCTCCAAGCGGTGATTTGTTGGATGTTTATGCTTTCGAGACAAAAGGGTGCCGGTGATCAGCGATAACAACGTGGAAGCTTTTCCCTGCCGGCCTGAATACATTTTAAAGCCGAGACCTCCCACTGCCCGGCTGTTTAAAGTTCAAGTTCGAACCGCAGGGACCGCGTTCTGTAATTAACATCTCGGATCGCATCGGACCGTTCGATTCGCTGGAAATACCATTTAGAATGTCAGCCCAAAATTGCACCGAAATTACCAAAAACTGTGTCCAGGAGGCAGAGAGGACGTAATTATGGGCCAGGTCGGAAAAACGCAGTAATCATGTTGCCAATAAGGGGGCCTGAGTGCGTGGGTCTGGGCGTAGGATAGCCTTTCCCTCACGGCATTATTAATTTTCCAAATGCGCAATATTTTAAAATGGCGAAAAGCCGGAAAATATTCTTTAAAGTACACAGACCCATTTTGTGTAATGAATGTGGGCTTAAAGCTGTCATCGGGGGATTTGTTTTCACACATCCAGGTGGCCAGGTGGCCGCCCCAAACCCTTTTAACCGTCGTTAGGCAACTGGCTTTTGGCAACAGGCGTTTGGAATTTGGAATTTGGCATCTGGCATCGGTGGCTGTGGCGGCAATTACTTGCGCATTAAGCCGCCATCCACATTCCGTCATCCGCAATCCGCCATTCGAGATACAAAGGAACAGGCCGCGATCCACACACATCCAGGCGGACATCCGAGCTCCCCCCATTATATAGCCAGGCCTGGGATAATTGAGCATCCCACCTGTCCTCTGGGCCGAGCTGGCATTTTATTCATCAAATCACGTGTTTTTACGGATCCCAAATATACTTGACAAGTTACAAAAAATAACACCCAGGACCTGGCCCGTTTATATTCCTATTTTTTGTTTCCCAGCAGCAGAAGCAGTTTCCTTTCTGGGCATTTTGTGGTAATTAGAGTTTCATGTTTCGCCGCAAAAACAGCCCAGTCCGGATTCCGGAAGTTGCTAGCCAACAGGACGATGGCAAGGACGACGAGAACGTGTTGCTTAATTACACGCATTACCAAATATCGCACATACGCCATGTGGCCCGCGGCAGGACTCGAAATAAACCGGCGCTCCAACGAAAATGAAATACTCCCGACCCATGGCTTTAATGGCCCGAGTTCTGCAGGATTTAAAAGGGCCTCTCATCAGGTTTATGCCACAACCGAGTACAAAGGCTCTTAATATCTCCGACTCGGAGGACATGGTTAACCAAGTCCTGATAAGCAGTCGCAGCCCGACAAATCCCAGAGGCAAGAGGCCAAAGGGCGGGAGTGGCGGCAGGAGTCGATAAACCCTAAATGGCCAAAATGGCAAGTGCAATTTAGTAGCGAGCCCGTCTTGACCTGGCCGAGGAGCCAGTCCTGCAGGGAGCAGCCGACTTCGTGCCCCGGCGATAGTAGAGTCACGCCAATATTCAGATTACACGATACCGTGCTATGCCACGCCATCGGGGGGGCGGGCCGGTAGGGACATTGAAGGAGCTGCCAAGGAGCAGGTGGGAGTGGGGGAGGCCGGAGCCCCGAGCCCAGAAACCGGCGCAAAATAATTGTTTTCCGTTGAGCAATAATTTTCTATACCTTTTCCCGCTCCTCTAGCGCTCCTCCGAGGAATTCCCCCGGCAGTTGCCCCCAATAAGCTTGTCAGGGGGCGTGGCCGGGCAGGGTACTTTATTTGGCCCAGCAAATTGAGTTAAGTGTAAAGGTACAGAAAAGGACACAAAGGGAGCGGAAGGCCCAAGAAGAATGCAAAGAAAGTGACGAGGGCCAAGCCCTGGCCAAGACCAGGAGACATTCGGGAGGGGCGGAGAGGGTGGCAGGACCGGAAGTGACACCCATTTTTCGCAATTTTAGCAACTCTGGTAAGTGGTAACATCATAATATTATTAAAAGTTCTGGGAGACATTACGGGCAATCGATGGCGTTCTCGTCCCTAAAAATATCCCAAGGATCGGCACTGCCACCACTTCAGTGGGATGTCCTTCATTTAGTCCTTATTTATATCCCTATAAAGCTCGAGAATGGGTGAAACAAATGAGCTCCTGCCCTGCTCCTGCTCCTGCAACACAAATTAAAACAATATATCTTGTGGCAACAGGAAATCAACATGTTCGGAGCGCATTTAGGCCAAGATTGCATATATCATGATGTTATTTTAATGCCCCGAGCAGGCCAGAGCCGGGATCTCGGCGGTCATTATACGTTGGCTTCCAGCCCCACCTCCGACCCGACCCTCATCCGCATCCGCCTCTACCTCTGCCTCCGACGTGCACATTAATGAGGCTACAAAATGAGCTCCTAAATGACCAACAAAAGGAGGCAAGTCCGACGAAAAAGTGCGGCTTGCAAAAACCGAAAAACATTGTTGCGGCAATTGTCTTGTCTTGGGAGTAGATGTTTTCGTTATTGTTGGCTCGTTACTCTACTTTCCTTTTCATTACACACAAAGGCTGTTGGCATGGGCGTGGGTGTGGCAATGGCAGTGGCGGTGGGTGGCTGCAGACATTGTTGCATCCTGAAGCTTGGCTCATTCAGCGTTAATTTTATGGATCCTGTTCAACTAAAGCAGCTCATGAATCTCAACCTGCCACATTCTTTAGAAGGCACTGGCCAAAATACACCCAGCCAGCCAGGGGACTCGGAAGCAGGATCTTTGGGAAGAGGATACAATCAACTTGACAAATGATGACTGCATAAGGCACTGCTGGTGCATTCAGTGCTCTTCAAGGTTTTATAATTTAAAATTTGGACCATAAAGTAGAGTGCATTTGGGGGGGTTTTCCTCGAAAAGCGAAGCACTTCCCTTTTCTGGCTGGCAAGTAAGACAAACGAAATAAAAAGGATAAACATTTTAAGGAGCAAACTCCCACTGAAAGGAAAATTATTACTGAAGTGGCCTTCAGCCGCCGCCTGGCAGCTCAACCTATTTTCGAGACGGGCTGCCACGGCGCGCTTCCTTTTCCGACCCGGCCAGTGCAAGTGCAAACTTTTTAGGGGAAAACTGAAAAGGATGAAGGGGCCATGAGGGGGGCAGGACACCACATGTATGGCTTTTGTGGTCAAGGGATTTCCAGACCAACGATGTTTGGCCAAAGGCTTGACTTTGATTTTGGTTTTCGGCTTGATTCCCTCAGCCGCCTAATGGCCCAAAGGAAGTCATGTGTAAAGCGAACGAATTCAAGGATTTAAGGATAGTCCTTCCATCTTCCATCTGATTCGAAATAGTTGTGCGAATCGGGATGAGATGCGATGATGAATGCATCCGAACATACGACAAACTGTCACAAATATTTAAATGAAATCCACGGGCTTTCAACGGCGAAGGCATGCGATTCCCGGATGCCGCGGATGGCTTTTGTGGCACGTTCTGTTTTTCATTCGGCAGCTGTCAATTGAAGCTGTTTTTCTGTGGCAGGCACATGTGTTACCTTGTTGATTTGCGAGGCGGTTCTCGACAAAAATAAAGGCCACAAATCTGCATATTCCGACGGCTTGT